TAATTGCTGGCAACTGCCCCCCTCCCACCAAAACATGTAAAAAATCACGGTCATACAAAACCAAGTGCCGAAAATATGATCACGGGACTGGGGCGCATGGCTATCATAACTTCAAAATCAGGTCACAAGTAGCTTTTGGGGGGGAGGGGGTTCATTTTAATTTCAAACAGCCACTAACGATTGGTTCTACTAACCTTGTTGAAGTGGTTCATTTTTCCACTTCCCTTTGCAAAATTGCCTCTCCTCTTTGGGGCTTTATTTTTGGTGAAATTTGGCACCTTTCCCACATTGTACGATTGGGGATCCGCCTCATTTAGACACCTGCATGGATTCTTCTCCAATGTGTTGTCGGCTTGTTGTTCGACAATTCAATAGATCCACATTCCTGTTTCTTCTAGTTAGTACAAGTCAGCTTTTTCCTGGCAGAAGCCAGAGAAAACATAAATTTAGATCAGGGGTCTTCAAACTTGGCAACTTTAAGACTTGCGGGCTTCAATTCCCAGAATTCCTCAGCCATCCCTCAGGGCTGGCTGAGGAATTCTGGGAGTAGAAGTCCACAAGTCTTAAAGTTGCCAAGTTTGAAGACCCCTCGTTTAGATCAGTGGTTCTCAACCTTTTTAATGGCGCGATCCCCAACCAGTCGTAACTTGAGGACTACTCAACTGGTGCAGCACCGTTTGCAGACTGGGACTTTTGGCGGGCTCAGCAGGGCAGAGACAGCCTGGACAATTCCTATTGGCTTTTGAAAGCCAAGAGAATTAGACTCTATTCAAGAGAGTCTATTCTATTGGCTTTCAAAAGCCAATAGAATAAAAGGGAGTAGCACAGCTAAGGAAAAGGGGAAAAAAATGGCGGACTGCGTTGTTTGGCGACCCCCCGTGAAATGGTCGTTTGACCCCAAATGGGGTCCTGACCCACAGGTTGAGAACCACTGGTTTAGATTAAGGGGACGGGGATGGCATTTCAACTGCCTGACCTACAGTGAGGATGTCTGGAATGGGGACCTTTGTAACATCACACACCCCATGACCTCACTGCACAATTGATATCCTCCTGGCTCCAGTGGAAGTCTTTTCTCCAGAGATCACTCTTTTCCAATGGGGTTGTAATTCCCATAATCCACTGCCAATGGCTATGGGTTGAAGGGCCTGCAGCCTCACCATATCCAAAAAGGGGGGAGTTGGGGAAGACGCTGGCTTCACACAGTCATGTTAAATTGCCCCATGGTTTGATTTGGGCACAGATGTTGTGCAAGCCCCAAAACCCTGTGCATCTCTTGGTGATGGTGGTAGTAGATGTCAGTCAAGCAAACCATGGTTTAGTGCAATATCTGAACTAAACCAGGCCTTAGATGGAGCGTTTGAAAAGCAAAGGACTTTGGGCTTGAGGTGGGAAAAAACTGAAACTTGCATTTTGGATTTTACCAATCAGATAGGTTTGTTGTTGTAGAAATGGCTAGTTTATACAACTATGTAAAAATAAAAAGTTGAGGTTTGATGCTACGGTATTATCTTGTGCTACTGCACCGAAGGGTGTTGGACGTCAACGCCTTTTCTTTCTCTCCCCTCCTTTTCCTTCCCCTTTTTTTTTCTACTATTTTCTCTTGTCTTTTTGTCTTTTATATTATAAATTAATAAAAAATAAACAAGGACAGCAATTCGATCTGTAAATACTGTATGTTTATTTCTCGTAATTTTGGCAGCTGTATCCTTGGTAGAGAAAATTTATTCTGCATTAATAAAGAACCTGCATTTCCCCCTGTGTGTGTGTGTGTGTGTGTGTGTGTGTGTGTGTGTGTGTGTGTGTGTGTGTGTGTTTCTCCAGCTACCTCCTGAAATGCTTGGCAGGAAGAGCCAGTGACACCCATGACCTCAGCATAGCTGTGGGGATCTGGCTGCTCTCCTGGAGAACAAAACAACCGATTCACAGGTTGTGTTTCCCACTCCTGCCCTTTCTTCTAAAATGGCCAGGTTGTTTTATGCCAGAGTTTAAACCTCCGGAAGAATCTCGTGCTTTCATTCTTCCCTCCACCCATCCCCCAACCCCCACTTCCCCAGACTCCCTTCACTTCGATTGACCTCATAACCAAGAGATTCTCCCGCGCCCGAAATGGGGCAGGAATTAAAGGTTCGATTCACCCCGACAGCCAAATCAAACAAATCTTTGGGGGTGAAGTGGGGGCCCGCCTGCTGTGTCGAATGGAATGCAGCTGCTGAGTGCTGGCATAACTTTTGGAATTAGGAAGCTTGAGTCTCTGCTCCAGCTTTTAATTGTGGAGGATCAACAGGGCATTAAGAAGGAGCTTTGATTGCAGTAAGTTACGGAAGGCACCGTACATTGGAATGTAGATTATCACAACGTGCCTCTGTTTCAGAGTCCTGCAGTGTGCAGAGATGGTGTCCCTCGCTTGGCTGCATTTGCCAAATGGTTATAGGAATGCATCGGATTCATACTTGTGGTTTCCACCCCGCAAGTGGTCCACGGAGGCCTGTCTGTACACGTTGATATTTTTAGCTTGACTCGCAGAGGGTGGGAAGAGAGTGGCTGTACACGCACGGCACAGTTACCCCTGCTTAACTATGATTTATCCAGTTAACTAACGCTATTTCCAACCTGTGCTTTCAACTTGCTCAAAAGTTTCCTTTCCTTGGAAAAAAGGCTTCTGTTTTTCTGCTGTTCTCAAAAAAGCTTTAATAAGGCTTTTGTACTTCAAACGTGCTAGGAAGGTGCTGCTTTCCATGATGCCATTTTCCTTTGGGGCTCTGTCAGGCTGCCCCCTCTGCTCTCTGTAAAACAGCCTCAATTTCTCTTCTTGAAATTTAAAAACGCCAGGGAAACGGCAGGCTTTTGGCATAATCACAGCATCAGGATAGTTGAGGCAACAGAAGACACCTCATCTCTCTTGGTATTAAACCTATCTAGCACAACATCACCTCTCTTGAAAACTTACCCTGCAGTTTCTCTTTTCTAGATTTTTTTTGTTAAATTAAATTCTCTTTTTTATGACATAAGACTGTTCATGGGTAGGAAAACCCGCCCAGCCACGAAGGTTTTGCTGCAGTTTCTCTTCTCTAAAAGTTTGAAGCAAATTCTCTCGCTTCACTTTAAAATGAGACTTGTAGTGAATTTGGTATTCTGAGCATGGGTGACATGCTGGACTGTAACTCAATTGTACTCTGCGTGCATTAGGACTCTTTGCCAAATGTGGTTGGGTTAGCTCTTGGTTACATGTGGCTGTGTTCAGTGACAAACTAAAATTGTGAAAATGCAGGAGCATGGCCTTAACTGCCATGTCTGTTGAAAGCGACGGATAAGGCCAAAGCCAATCATGAATGCCCACTCTTATTTTTCTCTCTCCCAAGCTCCAGGCTTTGGGGAACGGGCAAATACTTTCATCCAAAGGTTAGAGCTGGTGGCCTTTTTTGCTTTAAAAACCATTTTATATTTTAGTCTGTGCCTCTATCTCCGGGGTCCCCAAACCCAGCAGCGGTCCACAGCATGCCAGAAACTGACTAGAAGGCCTTTAAAGTCCCTTCCAACTCTGCTACCCTGTACAGTTTATCCTCTGTGAAATACTCTGCCTCCAGCTCACTGTTTTTCAGACTCGGCCATTTTAAGGTGGGAGGACTTCAAGTCCCAGAATTCCTCAGCCATCGTGAATTCTGGGAGTTGGTCCACACATCTTAAAGTTGCCAAGTTTGAAAAAAAAACAAAACACATGAGTCCAACCTTGGCAACTTTACGACTTGTGGACGTCAACTCCCAGAATTCCTCAGCCAGCCCTGAGGGCTGGCTGAGGAATTCTGGGAGTTGACGTCCACAAGTCGTAAAGTTGCCAAGGTTGGAGACCCCTTTGGTAATTGACTGAGAGCAGCCCTTCTTTCTTCCCTGGAAACAGGAGAGGTTTTGCCCGTGGATGGGGCTCAGAGAGGGCAGCTTGACCCCTCAGCCAGTTCCTCCTTGCTTCTTCAGCTGGGCTTCTTGGCTCCCTTCCATTGCACTGCAGGTCTCCCCCCTTTTGCTCCGCTCCTCCTTTGGCCCCTGCTGAAAGGTGTCCATCATGCCACTTGCGGGTGGCATCATCAGCCTTGAAGTAGCCTGGAGTGTGCATGAGAACAAAACAACCTCCTGCTGAGGCTGGGTGGCACACTGCCAGGGTTAGTGCACGGAGCAAATTCCAAACCCTTGTGCTGAGCCTAGAAACTCTTCTCTGAAAGGGGATACCCGAAAGAGTGAAATCAGGGGCTTGTAAAGAGCTCATTTGTATTTAAGAAACATCAGCGCCCCACTTTCTGCGTGACAATGGGCAAGGGCGGCTGGTAAACAAAATGGGCATTCAAAACCTGCCAGCAGAGGATTATCATGGAAGCAAACAGCTAAGAATTGGCCAAATGCAGCCAGTCCGTCAGCTGTCCCATCTCAGTAAGGTAGCAAAGTATCCCAAAGATGTGAGAGAAACATTTGGCATAATTGGAACTGTTTTTGTCTTTTGCTTCTCGGCCAGGGATAGGCAACCTTGGCTCTTTTATGACTGGTGGACTTCAACTCCCAGAATTCCTGAGCCAGCATGGGGGAACTATGGCCCCCTTATGACTCGTGGACTTCAACTTCCAGAATTCCTGAGCCAGCATGGCTCAACTTGGAAACCTCTCCCTTTCCCCTCAGCGTGGCTGGCTCAGGAATTCTGGGAGTTGAAGTCCACCAGTCATAAAAGAGCCAAGGTTGCCTACCCCTGGTCTAGGCTGTAAGTGGTTTGCTTGCATAGATTTGCGTTCCACCTTTCCTTCGATCCCCCTCAAAAATCCTTCAGGGTGTCCCTTAAGAATCCAGGGAGGTAGTCACCCCCCCCCATCCATGGCTTTGGAAAAATTGGGGAGGCCTCAGGAAGCCTTGGGTGCTTTCCTCTTGTGCTGGGAGGGGAACGATGGCAGCCTTGGCCCCGTTTTTCCCCGACTCTGCCATTGGGTGCTGAGCATTGGGAGGGCTCCTTCTCTTTCCAGGGAAATCCCACATGGCCATTGTCCAGAAGGTGAACAACGAAGGGGAAGGGGACCCGTTCTACGAGGTCATGGGGTTGGTGACCCTGGAAGACGTCATTGAAGAGATCATAAAGTCGGAGATCATGGATGAGTCAGACGACTACAGTAAGTGGGTTCCAACACAGGTATGGCCTGTTTAAGGCATCTTCTCTCCTCCTGACTCCCCTTATTTTCCTTAGCCCAACTAAGTTCCCTTGGCTAGATTGACAGGTATCTGCTTTCAAGAGCTCTGAAGCCCATCATCCCAACCCGAGAGCAGAGGAGCGATGGCAGGGGCCAGAACGAGGGAACAAAGAAACTTCTGGGCATACAGTTACCTCAGCCATTTTAAGACGTGTGGACATCAACTCCAGCATGCTGGCTGGGGAATTCTGGGAGTTGAAGTCCACACATCTTAAAATGGCTGAGGTTGAGAAACACTTGAGTTATTCCGGGGATTTAGCAAGCAGTCTTCACGCAAAGCTCCATTTCAGGCTTCCCTCCCCAATTTCTACCAAGTTTATTGCCCAGTTTAGCACACCAAGTGCCTGGGAATTTAAGACAGGTTATTTATTCTGCTACAAAGTCCATGTAAGCTTCCATTTCTGCAGCAAAGGTCAAGAAACAAATGCTTTCTAGATGTTTTGGGCTTCAGGACTCTTCTGTCCCACCCCTAGTGGCAAGAAGATTGTAGGAGTTGTTGGAAACATGAGAGAGAGAGAGAGAGAGAGAGAGAGAGAGAGAGAGAGAGAGAGAGAGAGATAATAGATAGATAGATAGATAGATAGATAGATAGATAGATAGATAGATAGATAGATAGATAGATAGATAGATAGATATGAGAGAGGGAGAGAGAGAAAGAGAGAGAGATGATAGATAGATAGATAGATAGATAGATAGATAGATAGATAGATAGATAGATAGATGATAGATATTCTTTTGTAGAAATATAAGAGTATAAAAGGAAACATTTGAGAGATATGAACCTGACACCCTTCTTCTGCAGTTTAGTCTTATGTTTACTGGAGTTAGCTTGACATCCTCAAAGCTTGAAAGCATTGTTCATAATTCAGATCTCCCTCACAATTGCTTCTTGACTGAGGGGGTCTGATGATGTTACTTAGTTTGGGTAATAGTCTATGGAGATTCTCAGCCATCCGTCCCAAAAGTGCTTTTTCAATAGGTAACTGGACTTTCTTTATTTTTCCTGGACGGCGTTTTACTTCTCATCCAAGACACTTCTTCAGAACATTCAATTCTTGGATGAGAAGCGAAATGTTTTTGAGGAAAATAAAGTCCAGTTGCCTCTTTAAAAAAGCACTTAGAACTAAGGAGAAACTTCCTGACAGTTAGAACAATTAACCAGTGGAACCACCTGCCTCCAGAAGCAGTGAATGCTCCAACACTGGACGTTTTTAAGAAGAGACTGGACAGCCATCTGTCCGAAATGGTATAGGGTTTCCTGCTTGAGCAGAGGTTGGACTAGATGACCTCCAAGGTCCCTTCCAACTTTATTATTATTATTATGGATCATCGCACAGTCAGCCAGATGTTCAGACTATTATTATTTATTATTATTATTATTTAAACCACCAAGCCTAGAGAGCACCAAGGACGTCTAATTTCCATCTTAACTACAAATATTCTCCTTCGTTGTTTCTTGACTCCTCACCTCCAAAGCTGTGTAGTTTACTGAAAGAGACGAAAGTCATTTTTTTCTACCAGATGTCTGTGTAAAAGCATACTTGGCGTAGCTGACTTTTCAGAACATTTTTAATGATCGTAAGTGGAGGGGGAAATGATCCGTGGGACATTTTAGATTTAGTTTTTTTCTATAATCCTTTTTATCTGCTTTTGGGGTGCTTAAACAAATGGGATTTTAGTTGAATCAGCATCCTCTAAACTGAATCTCGCCCTCTAAGCAGAGATGAGTAACCTCTGGTCTGCCAGGTATTAAGATACAGATGCCAGCATGGCCAGTGGTGAGGATGCTGCGAACGCTAGGTCAGCAACAACATCTGGAAAATCATCTCCAGTGATTTTATTCTGCTGAAAGTTGGCCTTTTGAGATTCCTTTTTTGCCTTCCTTGGCCCGGAATCTTGGAGGGGGGGAGGGTTAAAATGATACCGGGACGCAAAATGAAAAGCTGTACCCATAACGATGTCCTGTGATTGTCCTGCCTTTGCACGGAATTGTGCAGACGTCCATCACACTTGTGCAGTTTGATTCCTCTCGCTGTCTCTTCTCCTCCTCCCAACTCCAGGGGAGAACCGGTTGAAGAAAAAGCCGCCTCCGCTTGGGACGTTGATGGACCGCCGGAAAGAAGATTTCTCCTTGTTCAAAGTTTCCGACAATGAGTACAAGGTGAAAATCTCCCCTCAGCTACTCCTAGCTACTCAGCGCTTCTTATCTAGAGGTAAGACCAGGAAAGAAGCAGGTCTTATTGTGAAATCATTATTATTATTATTATTTTTAATTTGGACTTGCCTTTATTATTTTTACAAATAACTCAAGGGGGAGAATGCATCTGACATGCTGTCCTCCTCCCCTTTTCCCCACAACGACAACCCTATGAGGTGGGTTGGGCTGCGAGAGAGGGACTGGCTTTCATGGCTAAGGCAGGGCTTGATCTCATGGTTTCCCACTTGCTAATCTGGTGCCTTAACCTCTGGGCCAAACCGATTTATAGAATTGGGAGGGATTTGGGAGGTCATCTAGTCCAATCCCAGCTTATCTTTTCTATTTCTTGTTTTCTACCAGGGCAACCTAGAAAAAAATAGAAAAGACCCCTCAGAGTCCTTGCTGGATTTTTGCTATGGCTGGTTGAGGACTAGCAGCATTTAATGGTGTTTAATCTTGAACTGAAGAATAGAAAGGAAAAGGATCTCCATGATAGCGCAGTGTCCTTGGGTATTAAGAATCCCTAGAGCAAGGGGACCATTCTCTTAAATTCAGTTTATTAGCTACACCAGGGGTGTGCAACCTTGACAGCTTTAAGACTTGTGGACTTCAGCTCCCAGAATTCCCAAGTATTATTCCTAATAATAATACTCAGCAGTCAGTTAAATGCAAGAAAACCTGCTGAATAAAATAACTCTTTTTGACCTTGCACTTTAGCCTCTGAAGAAGTCATGCACAACTTGGTTTAATCAGTGCAAGATGGATTCTTCCAAGCTGATACATTAAATATATTTTGCAAGCAAGATGTATATATTTCTAACAAATGCTCATAAATATTCTCTTTGTCATTTTTCCAGGCATATTTCAATGCTTATTTCGGTGTTAAGTCAAACGGGCTTGATTTCATATGTTTTCAATATAATTAGATTTTTGTGATTCCTAGAGCTGTATATTGGCTGGAAAACTCCTGTTGCTGGAGGGTGTAAAAGTACAATCAAACAACTAGGCCTCCCTTAGGCATGAAAGCCAGTGAAATGGGAGTCCAACTTGGTTCTCTGTCTTCTTCCTGAGATGCTGAATCAAAACCTTCTTGTCTCGTTCCTGGGTTTCTTGTTGCTGTCTGCTTTGTGTATTTAAAACCGGGCTCCCCAAACCTGACAACTTTAAGATTTGTGAACTTCATCTCCCAGAATTCCTCAGCCAGCCATGCTGGCTGAGGAATTCTGGGAGTTGAAGTTCACAAGTCTTAAGATTGCCAAATTTGCAGACCCCTGGTTTAAAAAATAAATTGGCTCTTTTCTTTTTTCTTTTCAAAAATATGATGCAGCTGTGTTTTCTGCCTCCCCTGTTGCCACCCCACCCCTTTTCCAGAGGTGGATCTCTTCAGCCCAGGCCGAATTTCAGAGAAGGTCCTGTTGCATCTGTTGCAGCACCCCAGCGTCAACCAGGAAGTGAAGTTTGATGACTGCAATCGCTTGGCCGCTGAACATTACTTGTATCAGCGCAACCAGCCGGTCAATTACTTTGTCCTCATCCTGCAGGTACTATATGTCTAGGGTGCGCACAGGGAGGACCTTGAGGGAGGGTCAAGGCCCTGGTTCAAGAATCAGGTTGGAGGCTCAAACAACTTCTGAAAAACAAGGCAAACCTCTGGCAAACAACGCAACAAGGCTGCTGGGGCAGACCGTGGCCTCCAGGTCCAGCCCGGAAGTAGCAGAGTTCCTCGTGAAGTGAGGAGTACTTCCGATGGAAGATCATTGTCACCGATGGGCTAATGCTCCTGCACTGAGCAGGGAGTTGGACTAGATGACTTTCTTGCCCTATCAGAATGCTTGAAGGTTGTCAGGCTGGCAATTCTGGAACCAACGGCTGGTTCTTTCTCCTTCTGTCCTGGCCACTTTTTACAGAGGCAGGATTGAGAGCATTTTAACAAGCTGCATCCCTGTCTGGTTTGGTGGTAGCAGAGCCCAAGATAGAAGGTCCATTTAGAGAATGGTGAGGACAGCTGAGAAGACTATAGGAAGCTCGCTTCCCGTGATTCAGGATACTGCTTATAAGCGCTTATATGTGCTTAGAACTCGAAGCATGGACAGAGACCCCACACAGCCACTTCATGGTCTGTTTCTGTTGCTCCTCTCTTGGAGGAGGTTTTGAAGTATTTATAACAGTACTCCTGTAACAGCTTTGCTCCTTGTGCCATTTACCTTGTAAATACGCTGGATCCTTTTTTGGCGCCATATATATGTATACATACGAACTAGACTGCAATGTTTCTTGGTGTCATATATATATGTGTGCATATGGGTGTATTACATAATGGTTACTCTCTGAGAGCTGAATACAGTGTAATGACATTTTTAATGTGTACATTTAAAGTGACAAAGTTTTTATTCTATTCTATTCAAGAGGCTCTTCTTACCTTGTCTGGAGAGAGACTGTGCAACCCCCTATCAATTTGGAAATATTAAAGAATACTTTGAACTTGTACAGGTAGTCCTTACAACAGTTTGTTTAGAGACCGTTCAAAGTTACAGCGGCACTGGAAAATGTGACTTAGGACCGTTTTTCATACTAATGACCTTTGCAGCATCTCCAACGGTCATGTGATCAGAATTCAACTGCAACTCATATTTATGACGGCTGCAGTGTCCCAGGGTCATGTGATCCCCTTTTGCTACCTTCTGACAAGCAAGTCAGTAGGGAGACCTGATTCACTTAACAACCTATCAACTGCAGTGATTCACTTAACAACTGTGGCAAGAAAAGTCATAACATGGGGCAAAGAAACAACAAATGTCTCACTTAACAACAGAAAATCGGGGTTCAATTGTGGCTGTAAGTTGAGGATCTGTAGGGTAGGGATCTAGCAACTTTAAGACTTATGGACTTATGGACAACTCCCAGAATTCCCCAGCCAGCCATATTGGAAGGCAGCATGGAGAGAGTATATGGGGGGGGGAGGAATACGCCACTGCATTTAATGGGGAGGTATGGAACTGACCACTTTCAATCTTATGCAACTGGAAGACTTTCAGTAGCGCTTAGTAGGTCCCCATAGTTTCCAAGACGAATATTGCTCCATGGTTAAACGAAAGGGGCGACTTCTACGGCCTCCCTTTTTACCTGGAATTCAAAATGGTCTGGTCCATTGTGCCATTTCCCTCCATCCCTTTTCTGATGCATCAGCAGAACCCAGCACAGGACTCTCCATCTCCTGAGTCAAAAGCCTGAGATGCTAGCTCTGGTTCTTCAGGCACTCCATCCAGGAGGGAAACAGCCATTGGCATTGCAATTCCTCCGGGCTGGGATGAGTAGTGAGTCCTAATGCCAGCTGATAATGGAAAAGGGAAAGAGGTGAGATGCCACGCCCAAGAGGAGGCTGAATTGAGGAGGAGGAGGAGGAGATTGTGTGCCCTGCCTCCAGAGTGGACTCTAGAGACTCGGTATTCTAGGCAGATTACAGACATTAAAATGATTAAAAACAGCAGTAGCAATATACTGAATTGTAACACTGAAGGCGGGACTGCCAGTGTAACACATCTCAGGTTAAAAGCGCAGAGAAGCAAAACTTTAAAGAGGTAAAAGTCAAGAGGGTGAGAACGTGACAGACCTATGGGGTGTGGGGAGAATCCCAAAATGGGGGCCTACAGAGAGAAGATCTGTGGTCCTGTCCATGTCCCTCTCCCTCATTTTGACAGAGGGGATGCTGCAGCGGTCGTAAGTGTGAAAAATGGTCACAAATGCTGTTGTAACTTTGACTAAACCAAGGGTCTTCAAACTTGGCAATTTTAAGACTCATGGCTGGTTGAGGAATTATGGAAGTCCACGAGTCTTAAAGTTGCCAAGTTTGAAGACCCCTGGACTAAACAAACGGTTGGAAGCGAAGGACCATCTGTATGTTATGAGTATTTTTTATAAATGTGACTGTTTTAACGAAATCTACAGATTGTACCTAAAACAGCAGAGAACAGGAGCAGTGATTTAAAAGGCACCCATCGTTGGCCCTGAAGAAAAAGGGGTCTTGCTATTTTTAAAAAAGCAGATGAATTGATGCCAGGGGGCAGGTATTTGGGGTGACCCCTAATCAGTGAAAGGAAGGCTTAAAAAAAAAAACGAGCCTTTTATAGAAGAAGTGAAGAGAGCAACCCAAATCCAGGCTGTAATTGGATTTGGGAATCTGAGACATTCATTTTATTCCTTCTCCACCCAGCCAGAGGTGCCTCTGCTTATTTTGCCTTTTTCCTTCTCTGCCAGGGCAGGGTTGAAGTCGAGATTGGGAAGGAAGGGCTGAAGTTTGAAAATGGCGCCTTCACCTATTATGGCGTCTCAGCACTTACCGCTCCTTCTTCAGGTGAGTTCCTGTGCTCAGTTTAGAGGTGAGCAGCCCCTTTGGAGGTGGGAATTCACCCCAGAGGCCTTACTGCCAGCTAACTCTTAAGGCCCCGCTGTGGGGGATCGGTAAGTGGACCCTCAAGTGTGTATTTGGTTCACCCTTTTAAAGTAGAGGCCAAAAAGCTGTTCAACTCCTATTTGTGTGGCTTTGCTAGTAAGAAGGTTGCCACAGTTTTCGTTCCTGCCTTCCCAGGGTTAACCTAGTCCAGGGGTGGGCAGCTTGGGCTCTTTTATGACTCGTGGACTTCAACTCCCAGAATTCCTGAGCCAGCCATGCTGAGGGGAAAGGGAGAGGTTTCCAAGCTGAGCTATGCTGGCTCAGGAATTCTGGGAGTTGAAGTCCACGAGTCATAAAAGAGCCAAGGTTGCCTAGCCCTGGCCTAGTTGATGGCTGTCATCCACCCGGAGGTCTCTGCCTGAATTGGGATCCATGGTGGGATGAAAAGTACATTTCCTCCTATGCCTTCTTTCTCATTGAAAAAATGACCCACATATGCACATGCAGAAATCAAAATACAGGTAAATCCTCAACTTACAGCCATTGGCTTAATGAGCACGCCAAGTTACGACAGCACTGGAAAAAAAATGAGTTATGACTCATATTTCACACTTGTGACCATGGCAGCATCCCTCTAGTCACATGATCAAAATTCAGACACCTGGCAGCTGATCCATATTTATGACGGTTGTAGTATCCCAGGGTCACATAGTCAACTTTTGCGACCTTCTGACAAGCAACATCAATGGGGAAGCCAGATTCACTTAACAACCTTATTCCTAACTTAACAACTGCAATGGTTCACTTAAAACTGTGGCAAGGAAGGTCATAGAGTGGGGCAAAAGTTACTGAAGAACTGTCTCAGCATCGTAAATTTTGTGTCGTGGTTCCGACAGATGAAACTCTTCAAAGAACTTTGAGGCATTGTTTACCTTAAAAAATCTTTATTTGAGCAGCATAGCATCCACACGTACATAAGCAAAGCCAAAATCTGGATTCCCCTCCTCTGAGCACATAGTATCAAACACAATTCCCTCTTCTAATTAACAGTCATAAATCACATTCTCCAATTAGTTTGAAATGCAGGCTTCCCCTCCTGTTCTCCAACCCGCCATTCCTTATCGTCTCTTATTTCAAAAGCCCACAGCCTATTACAATATTGTTATGTCTAACTAACTCCCATCACATTCCTCCTCCTCCCCCAGCATCATCTAATTCTAAGAGAAGGCTGCATCTCCATAGGTTGTCAAAGCAAAAACATCCAATGTTAGCAGCGTCAGACATTTTGGGCTCAATTGTGGCCGTAAGTCAAGGACTACCTGTAGTAACTTTCAGCCAAGGCGACAGATCCGTTCAGAACCATGTGCTGTCTTCATGAGAAATCTGGTTCCCTTTTTTTAAAAAAATAAAATTCGTGGCTTCACTCTCTTATTTCCAAGCCTCCCTCAGTGTTGCTTTTTCCTTTCGACAGTCCATCAGTCCCCAGTGTCCACTCTGCGGATGAATCGCCGTGAACAGCAGGTTGACTGCCCAGAGCCCACCAATTATTCGGCATACTGCCCCGATTACACCGTCCGGGCCCTCACCGATCTGCAGTTCATCAAGGTAAGCACTGACCACCAGGGATTTGCCAGGCAGAGGGAGTGGGACAACGGCAGGATCTAAGTTTGCGTAAGCCAGTGAGCACAGGTAGTCTTCAACTTAACTTGCAAGCATTTGTTTCGCGATCCTTCGAAGTCAACAACGGCACTGAAAAAGTGACGTATGACCGTTTTTCACATTGATGACAACTTTTGCCTGCGATGGCGTCTTTGCAGGTCACCCGCTTGCAGTACCTCAACGCTCTTATGGCCTCAAGGATACAGAACTCGCCCCAGTCCCCGGAGGCTGTGGATCTGAAAATTATCCCCAGCAGCCAGACGAAGCTCCTCAACGACAAAAACACGGCAGCAGGTGGGCCCTTTCACCTCTGGGGCCAGCGGTTGGGACCCTCCCCTGATTTCACGCCCATTTGGCTCTCGGCAGCCCCTCCAGCTGACCGCAGAAGCCTTGGCCCCCAAGAGCTCGCAGCCTCCTCCAGCACCGAAGACGGAAGCGAGGAAGGGAAATCCAAGGGCTGGTGGGCATCTTAACGATAGACTATGGAGGGAAGGGGCTGCCTGGATTGGGGAAAGGGACTTGTGAGGGAAAGGAGAACGAGCTTTGGGGAGCTAGAGAGCGTCAAGAGAAGGTGATGGGGCAGGAGGAGTGGATAATGCCCAGGTGGGGCGGCTCACATCCAGGCATTTGGTGGGGTGCCCCACGTGGCTTCCGAAGAGCCTCTATCCTTGGAGCTCTTGGCCCGGGCACAGCTGTTCTTCAAAAGTCTCTTTCTGTGCCTCTGCTTCCAGGAGCTAAACGCTCTTCCTCCTGTTTCTGTTTCTTCCTTCTTCCTTCCAGCCTTCCCGCTAAATCTCTCTTTCTTTGGCAAAATTGAAAACTGCATTTAACACAGGCCTCTCTGCCATAGCCTGGAGTCCCTTTCTTTTTTTTTTTAAACCACAAGGTAAATATCTTCTGATTTCTTCTTTTTGTTTCCTTCTCCCTCCCTCCTCCTCCCTCCCCTCTCCTACCTTGGTACTCTCCTTTTGGACAGTCGGGGGCCAACTCCGTGCAAAGTTTCTAGTCCTCCGGGAGATTTCAAACACTCTGGCTGGGATGAGGGAAACCAAGATGGCATTTTCAGGGATGGCTGCTACACCTGGATGTATATCATGCCAGGAGGCCCCTGGGTCAATTAGCAAGTGGCTGGGGTCAAGCTGCCATGGTCCAAACAAATACTGGTCTGGACCTTACGGAGATTAACATGAGTGGGAAAATGTGCAAAGAGAGGAGTTTCCCTGTATGGTGGGATCAGCCGAGGTTCCTGTCCACCAGCAATCCCTAAATCAAGCGTGTAAAGCTTTGCGGGATAGATCGAATGTCCATTCAGGAAGAGACAGTGTTTTTTTGTCTATTAATTTCGGGGCCCCACAACATACTTGTCAAGTAGGCCGGCTGTATTCATTCCCCCTAGCAAGCGGAAGGCTGGTCTTTAAAAAGCGCGCTCTGTCTAGGACAGTGTTTCTCAACCTTGACAATTTTAAGGCATGTGGACTTCAACTCCCAGAATTCCACAGCCAGCAATGCTGGCTGTGGAATTCTGGGAGTTGAAGTCCACATGCCTTAAAATTGTCAAGGTTGAGAAACACTGGTCTAAGAGTTTGGGTTGAGCTGAGATTTCCCCCAAAGTTTGGGGAGAATTATTTTGCAGCTTGCAACATCTGCCTTTCCCGGTCAGAAAGCTTCTCCTCCCTTAGATGATCCTGTTTTGCTGCCGTTGTGCCGTTACATTTCATGGCTGCTCCTTATCTCCATGTTCCAGGGAAAAGCCGAAGCAAGTTCAGTCTCCAGGAAGAGACAAGCCAGAGCACGGGGGTTTGACTTCCACACATGACGTTAGGGCTGCAGGCGGGCGAGCCCGGGAGGGTCCCCTCCCTTAAAACCTTCAGCGCTTCTCCTGGCTTCTCACCGGGTTTCAGACGGACTTCTCGTTGGGCACCTGCATTTCCAAAAAGACGCTTCCTAAGTCAGGAGGAGCCTGGCCCTCTCGGGGGTGGGCTTCCAGTGCTCCGGCTGGGCTACTACGCATAAGACATTTGTAAGCAGCGCTTGATTGCGGAGGGTTGGTGGACCCGGGCAAAATGTGTTCATGGCGGAGAGCAGTGGCCAGCAAATACAGACTTGACTCTTTTGACGGCTGTGGTGCAAACGGACAGGTGGGGGTGGGGGGGCGGTTGCCAGGCCCTTCCTGCTCATTGCCTTCTCAGCGTCTCTGCTTCCACTTCCCTGCCGTGCGAATCTCTCGGGGGCCCCAGGTGCACGTCCCCTAAAAGCACTTCCACTTGCCAGACTCTGCCAGATTTTGCAGCAACAAAGTTCGTTTGTGCCACCTGTCGTTGGCTGCAGGCCCCAATCTCGGCTCTGGGGCCGAGCCCGCAGGCCTGCCGTCTTGCCTGGTTCCGATGCCCTGCCTTGCTGATCTGGGTTGCAAGCCATGGTTCTTGGGAACCCCCAAGCTCACCCGAGTGCCTGCACCAGGCCCAGCACCCCACAGTCCCTGCCCAAACCGTGCCAAAGACCAACTCTGGGAATCCTGCACATCTCTTCTGCCTCGTGGCACCGGGCTTGCCAGCTCCCTGTTTGCCCTGGATCAGCTGCCCTGGACCCAACCGGGATTTCTGTCGCGGGACTCTTGCTACAGAGGAGGGGCAGGCAGCTACTTGGCCCCCAGCCTGTTCTCTCTCCCGTGGCTGCTGTCCTTGAAACGTGGAAGGCCCCCCACTTTTTCTGGGGCTGCCCCTTTTGCCCACTTGGGAAGAACACCGGGTCTCCGATTTTCCCTGGATGATCTTCCCTCTTGGATTTCCACTCCCAAGCTCTCGCTGGCAATTCCATTTTTCCCCTCTGGCGAGAGAAGCTCTCCACTCCGGCTTTGGCAGAGAGACTTTTCCTCCTCTCATTGCTGTACACAGTATTCCCCCCCCCCTTTGGGACATGCCCACCCCCAAATCTTCTTTTTTAAAGTCAATAAAGAAACCGCGGGTTCAGGGAGAATCCTCTTCCCTTTCCCAGCCTCTCCCTCTTCACAGCCAACAGCAGATCGTGTCCGAATGGTTGCGTGTTCAGTTTGGGTATTTGTTTGTCAAATGCCCACAAGCTGTATCGTCCAGGGGATTATCTATCCTTACGCATCCGTATATAAGTCTCTCTCTCCCCCTCTCCCTCTCCCTCTCTCTCTCTCTCTCTCTCCCCCCCTCCATCCCTCTCTCCCTCTCCCCTAGTTGAGGTGAATATTGTCATGATTCAGGGCCAGGGATTAAAAACGAGATGGGGTTAAACCCCACCTCCCCCCCTTTTTTCCTAGAAAGCACATTATGCTGGAGAGGTGCACTGCTTATTTTTTTTCTCCCCACCCACAAGAACACCTAGGGATGAGAATCTGATTTGGGCACGGTTGTCCTTTGGCATGTGCTTTTTTGCCCGTCGGCCATTGTGAGACCCAAGCTATGTATTCAGGATTAGACCCAGTTAATCTGTAAGACAGCAGTTGGAGGAGAAGCTGGTGGATCCTTACACACCGGAGAGAATAGGTCTCTCATTCCTTATCATCCTTTGAGGTACTGCTGGGCAGATGTTGTCTCTGGCTGTGCAGCCACACGCAGGTGAAGCCCGGTCCACTCAAGATCTAGCTGATGCATTGGCACAACGTGCTAAACAAGGTTAATGTTAACCTTGGATTATTATTTTTTTTTTTTGCAGTTTAGCACGTGGGGCGAACGCAGCGTGTTTTTCAGATTGGTGTACTGAAGGGGGGGGGGTCCAGAAAATGGGTTCCTCCAGCAACCAGGTTGAGTAGATCCTTATTCTGCCTTCGTAGAAAAGCAGATTCCTCCTTTTTCTTGGAAGCATTAGAACAACTAGCATCTCCTTCCTAATTCTGCTGGCTGGCATGCAAGTTCTTTCAAGAAACGCGTCCGAGATGATTTCAAGAAGGCAACCATGGTGAATGCTTGCCACAGAGAAATAGCAGGACCCCGCAGGTAGAAAGCTAGCACAGCAAAGACTGGGCTGGTCTGGAACCTCCCTCACTGATAATACTAGCACAGGGGTAGGCAACCTTGGCTCTTTTATGACTCGTGGACTTCAACTCCCAGAATTTTCTGGGAGTTGCAGTAGCATTTTGTTGCCAGGAACTTTGGACTGGAGGACTCTTGCAATCTACGGACAGGGTGGGGACTTTAGGGGGGGGGGGTTCTTTTGCACAGAAATTGGGGCCTTGAATGTCTGTTCAACGGGTGTAAATAAATTTTTCTTTCAAGGTAAGTCACGTTCCAGCCTAGAAAAGCCATTTCAAGACCGACCTTTTGTTATACAGCCACACTTGCTCTCAACTCCCCATCTTTCAAGACACAAAAATACTTTTTATTATTTACAAAAGGAAAATCACATCACAGCAGCACTGCCCTCGCAGAGTTTTGAGGGACAGAAGTCTTAGCAATGTACAGTTCGACTCCTAAGTGGAATTTCTTTCTGGAAACCCCCCCCCATCCCCAGTCTTGCCCACGTACCCCTCCATTTGTGGTGAGGGGTGTTGTGGTGGGCATGGATGGAGGGGGCAAGTCCTGAGATGATACTGAAGACCGAAGACCGCTGCAAAGCAACCTCAAAGCCAGGGAGGTGGCTAAGACTGATGGATTGCCTGTGCACGGTGGCCTGGTATGACTTAAGACCAGGGCTGGGGAACTGTGGCTCCTTTATCCGGGACTTCAACTCCCAATGTTCCTTGGAGTTGTCATGCTAGCTCAGGAATTCTGGGAGTTGAAGTCTACTGGTCATAAAGCGGCTACAGTTCCCCCCTCCCCGACTTAGACAAAAGGACTACAGTATCATTTACGACACCTTTGGGGGTCACAATCGATGCAAAGAAGTGAAGTTGGCACTGAAAAATTCAAGTAATCGTCTCAGCCGCCCTTTCTCTGGAAAAGAGAGACAGGGAGGGCGGGAATAGGTAAATAAATAATCGCCAGAGCCGGTAGGGTACGAGTCCTGTTCCAGACTGAGAGAGCAAGGCTGGCTTCATGGACGCCCCTCCCGGCTCTGGGGCACGTTCGTTGAAGGCAGGCCTTGAAGTCATAAGTAAGGTAGAAGTCAGTAGGGGGAACCCAGTCCCCCAAGCGAAGGCGTTACTAGAGGGAGGGGGTGCCTGCTTGGCATGTGTTCCCCCCACCCCCTGGAATACTCCGTCGTGAAACTTGCAAAAGGATGGCCAGCCGGCCCTGTGCGAACTCTGCACTGTTGGCCATATTTGGCCCCTTCTTTTGTTGAAGGACATTGAATTGTTGGAAGACCTGGTGCTGTTTCAGGAGAACTCTATCTGTCCAGCAGCACCACCACGTTCGCCCTCTTTAATGTACCAAGGAACGAAGGGAGGGGAGGACACCCAAGGCCACCAGTGGCTGGAAATGGTGACACAAGGGAGCAGCCGCTGGGCAGCTTTGCCAACTGAAGAGGTGGGCCAAAAAAGACGGAGATACATTTATCGCCTGCTTCACCAGGAGACGTCGACTCGTTCCAGAGAAGAGCGTCATCTTTTGGGGGGTAACAAGCTCAAAAGAGGATTCCAGTCTGGCCTCCCTCCAGGGGCCTGAGGAACTCCCCGCCTCTGGAAGAAAGCTGCCCAGCCCTCAACCCCAGCGTCGGGGAGGGCTGTGACCAGAGGCCCCTTCCAGGGGAGCTGCAGCCCAGGCCCCTCCAGTATACGTGGCAGGTTGGAAGCGGAAGCGAGGCCAGATGCTTCCTCTAAAATGCGGAACTTGCTTCTCTGCAGATCCGGGGAGTAGCTGGACTGCCGTAGTGGCATTGTCCTTTGGAGCTGAGCCAGCTGTGGGGCTCGGCTCTCTGCCATTCACAGTCCCCTAAACATCTGCATCCCTAACTGGTAGATGCTCAGATCAGGCCTGTTTTGGCAGGGGAGCCTCACCTCTTCTCTCTGGCCTTTCTCCTTGCAGCCCCCTGGCTTCCGGGATGCTTAAGCTCACTAGACTTTGGAGGCAGGAAGGCAGAGCTTCCCTCCGGAGACTTAGGCCCCACCAGGCTGCCCTCTGCTGGTAGCCAGGAGGAATGCAAGGGTGCCAAGGCTGTCCCCTGCCCAGGTTTGCTACATGCTCAAAAAAATCTCCCATCTCAAGAGATAAAAGTTGCAGGAGGTTCCAGAGCCCAGCCGGCTGGCCCACATCAGCTGGGGATGTAAGAAACCTCCCCCCCCACACACACACACTATTTTTGTTCTCTCCACACCAGGATTGAAGAGGAAAGGCTAATCTGCCCAGTTTGGTGCAAAACAGGGACGAGGATGGTGAATTGGTCACAGGGTGGTGAAGGAAGGGGGGGAGGGTGCTGGCTTGTAGAGTCAACACCCCATTACCCAAGATACCCCGCACACACACACACAAACACTCTCAGCAGCTCCTGGCTAGGCCTTGCTGCCGGTTGGCGCATGTTTGCAGCGTCTCCCGGATCCCTGTCTGCCAGTCTTTCACCAGGTCTACTGGGGTGACCGTCGCCTGCCAAGACACAAGAGTGGCTCATAATTAGAAGCAAAGTAGAGGGCCCCCCCAAAAAAAACACCCCCAAGTGCTCTCTCTGTGTCTCTGTCTCGTCTATGGAGATTCTCAGTCATCCAGCTCTTCATGAAATGAAGACGCTTCTTGGATGAGAAGCTAAATGTCTTCAGGGAAAAACAAAAGTCCGGGGGCCTTTTGAAAAAGCCCCTTTGGCAACTTGCTTTCTCTTATTCAACAGCATGCTAGTCCTCATGAGAAGGCGTTAACCTGTACCTGGCCTGCATGAGCACTCCCAACTCCTTTTGCTGCCTCAATTCACTGATTATCCATCCAGCAGGGTCGTTTTTCATTATGCTCAGAGAACATAACGCTATAAAAGAACCCAGCAAATATTCTCACTAAACTGAAAGGCAGCTACAGAACATTTTCATCCATTTTTTTTTCACTTTTGCACTAACTCTTGATTAAAAAAAAAAAAAAGCTTTATATGACGGAGGTACATTTAACCTGACTTCTTTTGCTATCTGTGACGGTTCCAGCCACTGAAAGACCTTTTAGAGAATTGTCCCACAACGAAGAATGGTTAAGGGATTAAATTAGGGATGTCAGACCTTGTGGACGTCAACCTCCAAGTCTTCCTAAAGTTGCCACGGTTGGACCTCTCTGGATTAAATTATGCATATGAATAGAGGCATTAAAGCAGGGGTAGGCAACCTTGGCTCTTTTATGACTCGTGGACTTCAATTCCCAGAATTCCTGAGCCAGCTAAGCTGGCTCAGGAATTCTGGGAATTGAAGTCCACGAGTCATAAAAGAGCCAAGGATGACTACTCCTGCACTAAAGTGTCAGGTCAATTCACATTCTTCCAGATACTTCCAAAAAGTATCTCGGTCCCCATTTAAGATGCTACATTAGCAGCAGAGCAGCCCACCACCATCCTGAGTTTTTTGCTCACCTCATTCTGGATGCTAAGATTTGCCCCATACATCAGCAGGGTCTTGACCGCCTTGAATCGTCCTAGCCTGACTGCATCGTGAATAGGTGTATCTCCTTCCTGGCCAGGGAAAGAGAGAGTGTCTGCGCTCATACAACACACTTAACTTGGGTTATGGATTAACTCATTTTCTGGCCTTCCACACTGCTTTGGACTAACCCAGGGGTAGACAAGCTTGGCTTGTTTTATGACTTGTGGACTTCAACTCCCAGAATTCCTGAGTCAGCATGGCTGGTTCAGGAATTCTGGGTGTTGAAGTCCACAAGCCATACAAGAACCAAGATTGCCTACCCCTGCCCTGGACCAACCAAACAGACTGGGTTTGGGTTTGCGTTTCAGGTTAAGTCACCAAAAACGAGTCTCAAGTAACCAAGCTTAATGTGTAGTCCAAGTGCATCTACTGCAGGGGTGTCCAAACTTGGCAGCTTTTAAGACTTGTGGACTTAAACTCCTTAAAATTGCCAAGATGGGACACCGCTGATCGAGTGGGTCCTTACTGGCTTGGTGAAGCTTATTTTGTAGACCCAGCCAATGAAAGAGTGGGTGAAGTCCTCTCCATCTTGCTCCTGCTTCTAAGATGGGAAGGGGCTACTGGAAAATTTCAGAATTTCAGCCAGCAAAAGACCCGTGTCCAATCCTTGGAGTGGCATCCTTGGTAAGGAAAGTCAGGAATCATGCACTGCACCAAGACATGGATTAATGCGCTGGATTCAAACCGTTCAAAGAGATACAATAGCAAAGCCAGCCAGACTGTGAGCCTTATCCAGACCCATCTCATTAAGCCATTAAAAAGTTTCCTTGTTGAGCTTTACTAAATGAAGTACCTGCATTTTAATAACCTAGACTTGGTTTATTGTGTCAATCCGCTCCTTAACTGGCAGAGTACTCCAAAATCCCAATGTAGATCTCTCCCTACCAGGATTTGGAGAAGCTGACAGCTTGAGTTTTGCTGGATGCAGACAGGTTTTCTGGCACCAAGCCACGGTCCCTATCCAATGGCTTGGTTGAAGAATGTTTAGTGCCAAAGAAATCAACATCACCCACTGATATCCTGCAAAGGTGCCTTATCGTTGCTCTTATATTTGATCAGGAACCGAGTTTATCATTGGGTCAATTTTAAAGGTGCATAGCTATCGAAGCTGGATTCATATTACACCTTTGACTAACTTAAGATGGGGTGGGGCGGTTCAGCAAGATGTCAGAATCCAGTCCTTGTCTTGGCATACGTGAACCTGGCCATCATGCAATGTTTGTTTTTTTTGAGCACTGAGTCCTGGCCACCCAAGGTTCAGACTGAAGCAAATAGTTTCCTTATTATCAATGTTTCTCCCACAAAAGACAATTGGGAGAACGTCACTCTAATGAAGGTTGAGCTGGAGATGGCCAGGATCGGGTACCCCCTGTGTTCATCCCCCCACTTCCTGCACCTTATCTTGGGCATTGATCTTTGCTCCACAGGCAATGAGATGTTCAGCGCAGTCACAGTGGCCAGTCCGGACAGCCACGTGCAAGGGGGTGCTCCATAGCTGCAACCAGAACAAAAGGTCCACCATGAATCCCTAGGTGGGACGTGGCTCGTTTAGGTACAAGAAACGAGATCCCCATCTTTCCACTGCTTACCTTGTCCCGGGTGGAAATTTTGGCTCCACGGCTGATCAGCCCCTTGAGGATGTCCAGATGTCCCCCACGGCAAGCCCAGAACAAGGGCGTTGCCTCCAGCTGTGCCAAACAAAGCAGAAGAGGCTCACTAAGATCATTCTTGGGCCTTCTCCAACCTTCCAAATACCCTAGGCCAGTTTTCCACTGTTTAGGAGGGAATGGAGAAGACCCCCAATGCATCCCATGGAACGTTTAGAAAGTCAATTTGGAGAACTTGCTGGTCATCCTGCTCCATAGCCGGATAGGAAAAGCATCAAAAGGTGCCGATTAGCTGCCTAGTACTACCTAAAATTGCCTTCTAGACAGGACCTGGGAATACAACGGTCGCAATTCCTCTGCCAGCATAGCTAGGAATTTGGGGATCTGCACTCCAAAGGAGAAAGAGGGAGGGCAAGAGAAGAAGGGGACAACAGAGAAGGAGGTGGCTGGATGGAGTCACTGAAGCAGGAGGCGTGAGCTTAAATGGACTCCAGAAGATGTTAGAGGACAGGAAGGCCTGGAGGAATGTTGTCCATGGGGTTGCGATGGGTCAGACACGACTTTGCAACTAACAACAATCCAAAGGCAAATGGGTGTTCAATCTTTGGCATGCTTTAACTAGCTTTCCACAACCTGTGAGTGCTGCATCTGTTGAACTATTATTTCCTGCCAGTAAGGAAATTGGGGGAGGCTGACACCAGGTTGGGAAGGCTGACAAACCAGGGACCCAGCCCTCCTATTTCAGAGGAAGGGATGCAGGCAAGGAGAGAAAGCGATGCTCGCTTTGTACAGAACGCCCCATATTCTCTGCAACCTCAGCACTCCGGGATCTCAGCAACTCTGGGATGGGGGATTTATAAGCCATCAATCAAGGCTCACCATGTCTCTTGGCTCCAGCTTGGCGCCTGCTTCCAGCAGCTTGTCCACGATCTCTTTGTGGCCCCGCAAACAGGCTCGGTGCAGGGCTGTGCATTGGAACTGTGGCAGAGCAAAATGAGAAGGTTATTGCTTTGGGAGAATTCTCCAGCCTGGATTTCCCACCACTCTGGTCTGGTGTGTGGAGCCTTTGTGTCTGGAGCCACACCCATATGCACTACTCGGGACCTTGAGGACACAGATAAACCTCCAGGTGGCCTGAACGACTCTCTAAAAGAATGCCAATGACCAGCTGTCTCAAAGGAATATAAATCCTTCCATTCCCCACCATCTAGTCAGAGCTGAAGAAGCTTCTTAGATGAGAAGTGCAATATCTTCAAAGAAAATCAAAGTCAGTTGCCTCCTGAAAAAGCACCTTTGGAACAACCACAACCTGGATGACTTGAGAATCTCCATAGACATCTGGTCTACAGATGTGGCACAGTCAATGCACTTGGTGGCCAGCAGGTGGCGCTTGAATACCGTGCTACTTTAATGAGACCAGCTCAACTGGCAGAAAATCGCTTCAAAAAGGCAAAATTTTGGATGCATAGTTCAGAAAGAGGAAAAAAAAAAAAACCACCCAATTTTCTGCCCCCATTCATTCAGATGCCCTGGTGTATCACTAAACTCCCTTTTTATGACCCTGTAGAACCTGTTCTATAAATATAAACTATAAATATAAAAGGAATATTAAAATATATAAAATACGAATACGAAATTGCAGCACCGCTTTGGATTTCAAATTCCAGCTGTCTAAAACGACTTGGGATCTGTTTCCCCCACCCTTCCTTTGTTTGAATCATCATGCAGATTTCGGATGAAATGTCAGTCCCTTTGCAAATGGCAGGGCGGGTGCTCCTCGGTGACCCCACCATACCTTGTCATGGGTATTGGGGTCTCCGCCGTCCGCTAGATATTTGTTGACAACAAGAATCTGGTTGTCCAATGCGGCATCAAGAAACTGCCCTGGCTCCACCGATTCTATCTAAGAAAAGAAAAGATGGAAGTTGCTCAGATTTGTTTTTTGGGGTGCTTAAAAGCCTTAGTAAGCCCATACTTAGAATATTGCATCCCGTTTTGGTCACCATATTATTAAAAAGGTGTTGAGAGTCTGGTAAGAGTGCAGAGAAGAGCAGCAAAGTTGATTAGAGGACTGGAAGCATATGAAGAACAGTTGCAGGAATTGGGTACGTCGAGTGAAAAGAAGGACTAGGAATGACAGGGTAGTAGTGTTCAATATTTGAGGGGCTGCCACAAAAAAGAGGGGGGGGTCAACCTATTCTCCAAAAACCTGAACTTGAAGGCAGGACAAGAAGCAACAGATGGAAACTAATCAAGGAGAGGAGCAGTCTAGAACTAAGGAGAAACTTCCTGACAGTTAGAACCATTAACCAGTGGAATAGCTTGCCTCCAGAAGTTGTGGACGCTCCCATCATTGGAGGCTTTTGAGAAGAGACGGGAGAGCCAATTGTCTGGGATGTTATAGGGTCTTCTGCTTGAACAGGGGGTTGGACTAAAGAACCTCCAAGGTCCCTTCCAACTCCGTTATTCCGTTATTCCTTTTATTGAGAATGGCAATCTACCTTCATCTTGTTGCCAAGGAAACATCACGGACACGAAGAAGTCTTTATGTTTTATATAAAGAAGCAGAAGGAGAAGGATAATTTTATCTTCTCATTGCAAGTTTTCTTTTTTTTTTTTATCCACCATCCTTTTTTTCATTTGACTTTTCCAGAAATAGAGGCTTCCCCGGAGACTGACTGACTTACAAAATAGTGCTGCTAGATGAATGAGCAAATGAGAGCAAAGACGCAAAAGAAATGTATACGTGTCTATTCAATGCCTTCTAAAGGAATGTTTACGGTGAAAGAAGAGAAAGAGCTGGAAAACATGCGGAGGAAAGACCCCCAAACCCAGGAGATGGAATTGTACTTAATCTGGGAAAATAGGTATAAAGAGATGTGGCTCTCCTTATCTCCATCTTCAAACTCGTAGACCTTTGGAGATTTGCCACCAATTAAAAAAAGCATTTAAATTGGATTTTTCTGTCATCAGATAGGGGAAAAATCTCGGCGACTGAGCCCGTTTTAAAAGAGAACTGGAGAATCTCCTGAAACTCCGGATCTCAGCGGCTCCCCCCCCCCCGCTCTGATAATATTTGTTTCCTCTGGAATTGCAGCCAGAAAGTCCAGCTAGTCCCCAACTTACAACCGTTCGCTTAGTGACTATTCGAAGTTGCAACAGCACTGGACAAGGTGACTTATGACCTGTCCTTGCGCAACTGTCATGGCGTCACCGCGCTCAGGTGACCAAAATCTGAGCACCTGACAACGGGCAGCTATTTACGATGGCTCCAGTGGCCCAGGGTCACGTGACTGCCATTTGCCGCCTTTCCTGCGAGGTTCTGACGAGCTGAGCCAATGGGGACATTCAGATTTACTTAACAACCATGTGACTCACTTAGTGACTCACTCCAGTGATTGACTTAAAGCCAGGGCAAAAAAAGTCATAAAATCAGGCTCAACTCCTTTAAAAGCCTGCTTGCATAGAAAAATGAAAAATTCTGGTCCCGATTGTGCTTGTAAATTGGGACCTGGAGTGGACCATAAGGCCAGGTGACTCTACCTGGCCATGCCTAGATAAGAGTGGCCCACAGGCCTCAAAGCACTGGGGAAAAGCCAAGTTTTGTAGAGGCAAGCAGGGTGGGGCCCACTGCATATGAGGGGAGATTGCACCAGGAGAGGGGACCAGTTGCCCCCCAAAAGTACCACTTCTGAACTCTGACAAGCAACGCCATTTTTAGCTCTTGGCGGGGTCTGATCGGGGTGCTCTAAGCTGTCTCTGGACACAGCCAAATCTAATTTCATCTCGGAGATGGATGCTTGGAGCTTTCAGGGCAGCCTGACTCCTTCTCAAACAAGCTGAAGATGCCCTGCCCAGGTTTTACACTTTTGAGGAAATCCTCCAGAATACTCACAATAATTTCTGGCTCCTGCGGTTTGGGGAGGACCACTTTCTTACATGTCTTCTTCTGCTTGTGACGCTTGACAATGGCCGCCAAGTCTTCCAAGGTGTCAATCTTCAACCTGGCATGATTGAGGGCCTCAAGCTGGAAAAGATGATGGCGGGTATTGTGAGAAATAATTAAGCTCATTGCACGGTTGTTAAGTCAGGACACCAGATCCGAGCTGCAAATATCTAGAACAGAGGTCCGTAACCTTTTGGGCAGAAATGCTATTTTGTGGTTAAAGGCCATGTTAACAAACTTTGAAAGTCAGCCAAAATTGGCCTCTGGTCCTTCTGATACAAACAGAACTTAAGCATGGGTACTTTGGGTCCCCCCTCCCATATCCTTTCCACTTGGCTAGTACCGAATTCCTGTGTCATGGTTCCGACAGATGAAACTCTCCAAAGAACTTTGAGGCATTGTTTACCTTAAAGAATCTTTATTCAAGTTGCATGGCATCGGCACTTACATGGTTGAAGCCATAATCTGAATTCTCCTCCCCTAAACACGTAGTATCAAAGCATAATTCCCTCCTCTAATTAACAGTCATAAATCACATTCTCCAATTAGTTTGAAATGCAGGCCTTCCCCCCAGTTCTTCAATCCACCATTTCTTATCATCTCTTATTTCAAATCACCTTAAAAAACACTCTACTATGATGTTGTTATGTCTAACTAAGTCCCATACACCTTCTTCCTCCTCCCCACCCCCAGTATCATCTAATTCTAACTCTAAAAGTAACACACAAGGGGAAATTGGTTGCATCTTCATATATTGTCAAAGCAAGAACATTTGATGTTAGCAGCGTTGACATCCTGCATCCCCACCTTTCTACAACTTTTACAGAAACTCAGCAAGCGGCTCACCTTTTTCTTCTTCTCGTCTTCCGCTTTCTGCTTCTCTCTTTCCACCGATTCCCACCAGGGTGCAGCTGGACCTGAACGCCACCGTTCAGCTGCCCAGGCTGCGCCTCTCGCCCTTGCTGCGAAACAGCCAACTTTCTCTTCGCGCCGTTCCTCACTTACCTACGGAAGGAGACCGGAGAGGAAACCAGTCATAAGAAGGACGCTCTGGGTCGTGTGAGGCCTTCAAATGCATTTATGCCCCAAAGGGGGGAACTGCTGGGAGGCAAGGAGGTGTGGATCTAATAGAAGGAACCCAGAAGTTTGCAGAAATAAAAACAAAATATTGACAGCCTTAATAAAAAAAGAGGTGATTTGTTTCTTCAAATAGATGACATGGGAGCCGAGCCAGAAAATAGAAATAGAACGCAGCAGTTGGAAAGTGTGTGTGTGTTGGGGGGGGGGGTAGAATGGGAAGGTGCACTTTGTGAGGAAGAGGCAGGTTACAAATTTTAACAGATGCCCCCTTGTTCGTGCTCTACTTCTGGCTATCTAATTAACTCATCAGCCACCGCAGGAGGTCCATCATGTTAAAATAATGTTTTGGCAATACAATTGGTTTAGTTCTTGAGCTAACGCGTGTTTATTCTTCAAGCTCTGCTGCCCTATTAGCAGTTCTTTTAATATTGCTTTCTTGATGGGTTGTTGTAGTTACTTCTTTGCAATATTCTTGAAGAAAGAAAAATGCATATGGAAATGGAAATTCTAGAAGTGGAATCCAGACACTGAGGCTCACTCTAAATTTAAAAGGCAACTAGGAAGGCATCCCAAAGGTGCTTTTTCAAGCAGCCACTGTTTTGCCTTGAAGAGATTTTTGCTTCTCATCCAAGAAGCTTCAAGGAAAAACAAAGAAGGTTCCAGTTGCCTCTTGAAAAAGCAGTTTTGGGACAACTATGACTTGGAAGGAAGGAAGGAAGGAAGGAAGGAAGGAAGGAAGGAAGGAAGGAAGGAAGGAAGGAAGGAAGGAAGGAAGGAAGGAAGGAAGGAAGGAAGGATTCCTAGCTCATTACTGAATTAATTCATTCACATCGAAATTAACACTACTCAAAGTCAGCAAATATGCTTGGTAGGTCTTTTATCTGACCCAGTTTGTGGTGTTGTGTGAAAACAAGGCATACCAAGTGGCACTTAATCAGAAACAGCAGCAACATGTTCTATTTCTTGTAAGATGCAAGTGATTCAAGCAAACTAATTGGAGAGCAAAAGGTGTCTGTGAAATCCCAAACGACATTTGCATCCATCCATATCGTCTGCCGATATGCAAATGACACATTTGCCTGATTATCGAAATGGTGCCGTTACTCAGAATGTGCAGATCATCACCACGAATAACATAAAATTAAGGTTAAAAAAATTAACAGGTTGAACGGCTTGATCCAGACATTTGATGCAGTGGATTAAACTGTTCTTTTTAGGGAGATACTTGAACAAAAAAATGAGGGACAAATGTTAATACTCGGCTTAACCACAAGCCCTTGTTTAGCTGGTTTAAAGAGAAATCGCAAAAAATCATTGCAGAGAAAAATTTGGGCATAGTCACACCACAGCCTAACAAAACCTCCAGATTCAGGCGAAGTCTACCTGCCAACGCTGGCAATGGCATGACAGCAATAGGAAAGGGGGGTTGTGTTAAGCATTCCATTTACAGCTTTTCTTTCCCTGGTTGCATTGAGATGAGATGAGAAAACAATTCCATCAACATTTTGTTATTATTTTAATTCTGGCTCCTCATGCATTTTTAAAGTGACAGCAGCTTATGAATTATTTCTGGTTGATTGCTTTGTCATGTTATTTTAATTGTGTTTTAAATCAAACTCCAGCTTTGTCATCTGCTGGGTATGTGCCTTGTTGTGGAATAGCCAGATATAAATTGTCGAAATAAACAAGCACAGATGCGTCTGGATCTCAGGCGGGAGAAACGGGGGTGGCTCTGATCCAAGTATTCACCCCGGGTTGGATTCCAATGCCCTTCACCTTGGGGAATAATTTGTCGGGTTGGTGAGCATGGTGGCTGGAATCTACTTCCTTTAGAAGGCACGAGGTTGGAGATGGGCAGAGTCTGAATGGAAGAGATGGGATGGATCCAGTTCTAGGCACCATGAAAAAAATTCCTTCTCACCCACCTGGAACAAGCAACAGACGGGAAACTAATCAGGAGAAACCTGGGTGGGTTTGATTTTGAGATTTTGAGAGTGGGATATGCTCACCCTCTCCAAAAACCTGAAAAGGTATCAATAAGGGAGAATATTTCTAGCTCAAGGATCCAAGGTGCTCTCTGAGCTTGGTGGTTTTCTTGCAGACGTTTCCAGATGTTACCTAGTTTGGGTAATGAAATGTCTGCAAGAAAACCACCAAGCTCAGAGAGCCCCAAGGACCCCCTCACCTGAAAAGGTGTCCCCCCCAGAAGGGGAGCAACCTGCGTCTCCCAGAGAGCAAGATATGGAAGAATGACCCTAATCATGGGGATGTGACGACGGAAGAGCAGTTGGATGAGGGTCTGGAGGAGTGGTGGAGATGTTCAAGAAGATGATGGACAGCCATCTCTTGGGGAGGCTTTGAAGTGTGATACTGCCCTGGGTAGAGGATTGCTCTCCAAGATTTCACAGGCTGGAAGAGGTTCAGGAAAAAAAATCAACCAAGACAGCCAGAGAGCTAGAAAACAGTTCTTATGAAGAGAGCTGGACGCACTCACACTGCAGAAGATGGAAGGGAATTTGCTGGCATTTTCAAATACCTAAAAAGTTGGCCAAGAGAAGGGAGTCAAGCCCCCTTCGCTGGTTCCAAAGAGCAAGACCCTCAGAATAATGTATTTAAATTGCAGCAGGGGAGATAAGTTCCAACTAATTTTCTGGGGGGGGGAGGGGAGAACCTCCTAAAAATAAGGGATGCGGGGCAATGGCTAGGGAGGGTGTCTTCCCTTCACTGGAGGGGATCAAGCAGAAGCGGAACAGAACATCTGGAGAGAACTGGATTTGGATCCCTGCACTGAATACGTCTTGTCCTTCCAACCCTAAGATGGGAGGATCCTATGAAACCCCAGTTCTCCGTTGGGTTCCTGGCTTTCAGGACAGATGATGGAACGCCATAGCCCATTTCCCCTGAGCCCTCCTCTCCTTCCCTTCACCCAGCTGCCCCCTTGGCCAAGGCATGTGGTGTCTGCAAAGTGCCAACCCATGAAAGCCGTGCCCCTCCCTCACTGGGGGAAGAGTGCCAGATCCAGCTCTGACATGCCTCCCATGCCGCAGTGCCTCCTGCCCCAGATGAAGCAACTTCTATTTATACACAGACCTCGGGGTGTGACACTCTGCAAAAACACAACGTGGTGTCAGTGCCCGGTCACATTTCCAGTAGGGGTTGCCAAAGGGCAGCTAGAGACAGCCAGGCGCCAGAGTGGGTCCCAAATCCTCTCTGTTGCCTGGGGAAAGATCCCCTGGGATCCCTCACTCCACTAGTTTGAAGGGAAAGGAGCCCTGCAGCTCACCCAGTACAGCCTCTGCCCAGGGCAGGATCCATCAGAGCAGGGGTAGTCAACCTTGGCTCTTTTATGACTCGTGGACTTCAATTCCCAGAATTGGTTTAGCCTGTTGGAAAAATCAGCCCGCTTGGTTCATTTATAATCCACTGTACTGGGCAAACCCAGAAAACAGGCTTATTCAGTAACTGGGTTAAGTGTGCAAAACCCGCCAATCTGCTTGCTTTACGTTAAGACAGCCATCCTGTGTTCAATCGCTTTCTGTCTCATTAGAGAACACAACTAGGGAAGGGCCTTTTTAGGGACCAATGGGGGGCCCCGGAACTCAAGTTGAGCACTTCTCCCTGGAAAGGTCTTCTGAAATGAACCAGCTGAAGCAGCCCCTCGCTCAGGGTACAGGAGTCCTCAACCTCATTGCCACAGAAATCTGATCCCATCTTGGCATTCCCACCTTCTCAGGCCAAGCAGCCAAGGAATGTCTCCACTGCTCTCCTGGGGAATTCCAGACACCACAAGACGGTCAACCTGCTTCTTTGCTTCCTTCCTTCTTAGGCTAACAAACTCCTAGGAATCTTGACTGGTTTTTATAAGAGGGCAAGCAAGTTTTTGGCCTGAGGCAGCCACCAAAATAAGACCCCTGCTGTCTCAAGGCCAGGAATGGATTTGTTGATGTTTTGGGGAGAATCTCTCTCCTCCGTTGATACCTATGAAACGTTCAGAGGGTTTTCTGGGGTGTGGTGAAGGCCAGCCAACTGAAGAAACAACAAGACCCAAGACTTCTCTCCATCAAATTACATTTCCACTTACTTGATGTAGAGAGGAAAAGTCTTTTGAACACCACTGGGTAACAAAATCACAGCCATGCTACTCATCATTCCAGAGAGGCCTTGTGGGCCAAACAATCCATTATGCCGGATTAGGCTTAAGGACTGGAGGCTTCTGATTCCTGACATAGTGCTATTGTATTGGGAATCAGGAATCTTGAAGCGTGGGAATTGGTGGATCAACCTAAATTGGAACAGCTTGTTTCTGCTTTCTCGGGTGCTCCGTGCCAAGTGAAGATTGAGGAAGGGGTGGGATGGGGGAGCCGAGAGCCAGCTCTTTATTGATACCACAGCAACAACTGGGCTCATCTCCTGCAGCCCTTTCTTATCGCTTATTGTGCTGTAGAGTCTTCGCTCTTTCTAAGGCAGAGACTTTCTTGACTATTTCCCCCCAATCTGCAGCTCTCTTCTTGGCAGAGTTCATGAGGCATCAGGAGCTTTTTAAAAGGGGGACAGGGAAACCCCACAGCCTCGCCACCTAGAAGGAGACCGTCCCAAAATATGGAAGGAATATTGGATGGATTGTTATCATTCAGGGCAGGAAAACTGACCAGTCCGAGGCTGAGAATGTCAAAGGCTCCTCCATATTTCTAACTGTTAAGCTGATAAGTGTCAGTGGACAAAAAAATCATGGAAAAAAACGGTATTGATACATGAGAAAAAAGCCAAGAAGGGCGGTAGGGCAGGTGTAGGCAACCTTGGCTCTTTTATGACTCGTGGACTTGAACTCCCAGCATTCCTCAGCCAGCATAGGGGAAACTTCATGACTTGTGGACTTCAACTCTCAGAATTCCTGAGCCAACATGGCTCAGTTTGGAAACCTCTCCATTTCTCCTCAGCATGGCTGGCTCAGGAATTCTGGGAGTTGAAGTCCACGAGTCATAAAAGAGCCAAGGTTGCCTACCCCTGGCGTAGTGCATCAAATCTCAGCCACACGTTGCTCAGTGTCCCAAAGTGTGCACAGGACAACTCCTAAGCCTGTAATTGTCAAATTAGCAACCTCAAGATGTGTGGACTTCAACTTCTAGAATTCCTAGCCTGCATGAAGTCCACACATTGCTAAGGTTGAGAAAGACTGCCCTAAACCACGGTTGTCAGGTCTACAGAACATCCTATCCCGGCACCAATCAATCATCCTGTTTTCTGATTTAACAGAATGGCCTGGTTCACACACGTGATGACTTAGATGGACTTTTTCTAATATGCTGAACCAGAAACAATTTCTCCTATTTCAGTCTAATCTACCATGTTAGAAGAGCCCATCTAGCGAACAAGGCAGAACCGAAAACAGCAGGAAGATTATGGTTGCGAGTTTGGTTTTAAAAAAAGAACATCACACGTTGTGCAGGCAGATAAACATATCTGCTCCTGGGAGTGAAAACTTGGCTGATTCATCTTCTGTAGCTCACAGCTCTTCAAGAACTTGCCTCCGGGCACCACAAAGACACATCTATGAAGTCCTCTTTCAAATTATTGATTCAACTTATATCCCATATTTCTATTCAGAGAACATTCAACTCTGGGAGAAAAGATGGATCAGAAATGGAGCATGGGTTCATATTAACACGTGACACCTCAAATCCAGGACAAGAAAATTGCTATTCACAGTGTGTGTCACATCCATTCCAATAAACAACCGGTATTCTGGTTGTTTCATACAACAGTCTGTGTCAAATGGATAATGTTCTCACAAACACTGGGCTACAAGCTACCATTCTATAGGACCCTAGTTTAGAATTGTATAAACTCATGTATGTCATTTGAGGAGATGGATTCAGACAACCCAAAGCTCTGCAAACAAGTGGACCAAGTTGATAACCAGGTCTAACTATCACAACATTGATCTTAGTCAAAAGTTTGAGAAAGCATGTTGAACCGGTGATGAATATATGATTATATTTTACGCAACATTTATTATACATTATTCATCATGGTTATTCATCACTTGCTACTGGCAAAAATATGATTCATTACCAGCTAGAAAATGGATCCATCATATGCTAAGTTAAAATACCCCACACATTTTATGCAGATCCAGATCTCAGCTCAGTGCAGGAGAGCTGAAACATTGTAAGATTAAACAGAAACGTTTAAAAAGGATTCTGAAATTTCAATCCGTAAGTTTTCAGAAGCATGCTTTGTCAGCCTTGAATGCTGATGAGTTGCATAGTGCTGTATATTTGTGATGTTATTCTTAATTTCCCTTTCAAGTTTTGGTGAGAAATTTTGCTCTCTTCCTGGCCCAAGGCGGAGATTTGCTCCGGTTAATGAAATGACCCAGTTTCTGGTCCGTTCCCTATACACGCTGGCTTTCCCTGACTATGGAAGAATTTAGTGCCTGCACACATCAGCTAAATTGGCACAGAGAAAAACACAGAGGTTTCTATGTGAGAGGCAATCTTTGTTTTTTTCAAAAAGATCCCCGCTGGAAAACAAAAAATGAAATTTGAGTAGAGTCTGCCTGCATTCGGATCACATATTTAACCAGCTTTCTCATGAGCTCATTTTTCTAGGTTCATACAACACATGGAACCAAGCCGAGCTGGTTTCACATTCATCAATGGGGTGGGGGAGTGGATGGAATCAAGAGTTTGAATTAATCAAATTCCTACGAATGTGATGCAAAAGCAGACATCAGAAGTTTAATTGGCCTGAGGGATGTAAAGACCCATCCCAGAGTTCTCTGCATTCTCCCCTCATAACATCTTTATGATTTGATCTACAAGTGGGCCACTCTTCCATCAGGTCCAACCTGCTTTGCTTACCCAAACTCAAAGAGGCTGTCTTGGACTGGATTAGAACATAGAATAAGAGGGTTGGAAAAGACCTTGAAGGCCTTCAGGTCCAACCTCTAGTTCAGGGCAGGAGACCTTATTGTATCCCAGACAAATGGCTGTCCTATCTTTTCCTGAAGATCTCTAGCAATGGAGCACTCACAATTCCGGAGATAAGTTGTTCCATTGATTTATTGTTTTGTCGGGAAATTTCTCCTTAGTTCTAGGTTGGATCCCTCTTTAATGAGCTTCCACCCATCGTTTCTTGCCCTGCCCTTTGGAGAATAGCTTGACCCCTTCTTCCCTGTGACAGCCCTTCAAGCATTGGAAGGTAGCTATCACGTCACCCCTAATTTTTCTCTTTGTTAAATTAAACATACCCAATTCCCTCAATTGTTTGTCATGTTATAGGTAAGGGTGTAAGTCTATACATATGCTGTATATAGTATGTTTAAATATGTGTTATATGTGTACACTTTGAGCGCAAACAACTAAATTTCATTTTTAATGTGTGCCACTGTGCCCACAGTAAAAATGCCACTGTGCCCACAGTAAAAAATGACAAGGCTATCTATCTATCTATCTATCTATCTATCTATCTATCTATCTATCTATCTATCTGATCCATCCATATCCATCCATCCATCCATCTCTATCTATCCATCCATCCACATCTACCTATCTACCATCATCTATCCATCCATATCTATCTAGCTACCTATCTATCTATCTATCTATCTATCTATCTATCTATCTATCTATCTATTTATCATCTATCTATCTATCTATCTATCTATCTATCTATCTATCTAATCTATTTATCATCTATCATCTATCCATCCATATCTATCCATCCACATCCATCCATCCATCCATCCACATCTCTCTCTCTCTCTCTCTCTCCCAACCACATGCTTTATTATCTGCAGTTCCCCCCCACCCACCCACCCAGCCCAATTCTTCTCAGCCTTACCAACTGCTGAATGCTGAGGATCTCCATGGTCCTCCCTTCCAGAGCCGCAATGCTCTCTCCGGCGACTTGCCTGGGCAGCTGCATTTATTTCGTCCTGGGAAGGGTGGATTTAGGCTGCCATCCAAAACCCCTCTGGGCCCAGCAACTGGATTGCTGGAGTGCCATGTAACGCCCGCTAAAATAACTTCATTAAATGCCTCGAGTGATTGCCCATATCCAGAGGGACAGAGGGAGGGAACCGGCCATTAAGTCAACATTTCGGTTGTTGGGTTTCCCAAGCTTTTGATGCAACCAGATTGGCTTTCCCCATCAGCCCAGGAGAAATGGCTGTAGTCCATCAGAAAAAGCCATTTGGAGAAATCTTTCCCTGCATTGTTGCAGAGGTATGGCAGCGGACGGGCGAGGATGGGGTCTAGGGCAGGGGTCCTCAACCATGGCAATTTAAGACTTGTGGACTTCAACTCCCAGAATTCCTCAGCCAGCTTTGCTGGCTAAGGAATTCTGGGAGTTGAAGTCCATAAGTCTTAAAGTCGCCAAGGTTGAGGACCCCTAGTCTAGGGTGTGTTCGGGACTAAGACTCCCCCAGTCCCTTGCTAGTGGCCCCGATAGGCATTAAGAGTCCAACACATTAAGAAGATCCAAGATGTCCAGATTCATGCAGCTTTGCACCAAGTCAGCTTTCTAAAGCTAGTTAGCAGTCAAGACTTTAAATCTGACATTTTTTCATAATAGGCTGCTTCCACCATTAGCTAACAGCAATTTGTATATTTATGGTTGAGTAATGGAGAATGTAGGAGCATTAAATACAGAATCATGCACCTGAGGCTGACTCACTCATTTTAGGAAAATGTTTCTTGTCACCTGGGAGTTTTCATTCCGAAGACAAGAATGAGAATCAAGTGCTGACCTTTTTTGGGGAGAAAAATTGAAACGAGGCAAGCCTCATTTCAGATACACTTCCACAAAATCTCATTTTTAAAATGTCAAATTAATTCCACGTTGCTGAGTGGATAGAGGATGACCAAGAACCACGATTATTGGACTTCCCAGCCTGGCCCAGAAGTGGGAAGAATGGCTTGACGTATTAGACCATAATTTTCTTACAGAGTACAATCTGAGACCTTCTGTCTTAGTAGAATTAATAATCAATCTAGGGGGAGGAATATAGAAGGGTTGATCATGATTTCCCCCCCCCCCAGGTGACAGCACCTGGGTGCCCAATGTCACTACATCAGAAAGTGGAGGAGTTGCACAATGACACACCATGATGAGCTATGACATCATCAAGTCTTCTGCTGGGTGCCGATGACTAAAGTAGAAAGGCATAATGGATTCAATCTCCAAGGGAAATGTGAATTCCTTGAACACGGATATCTGAATCCTAGAGGGCTTCATGTTTAAAGAACTCAGTGGCTGCATGCACCAACACTTAACCTGATAACTAATTAAACCCTTTTGCTAGATTTGTACATAGACTGAACGATGAACTCACTTAACAGGCTGGCTTGCCCAATACTCAGCTAAAAACATTCTAACCCAGTGGTTCTCAACCTTTTTAATGCCACGACCCCCAACCGGTCATAAGTCGAGGACTACTCAACCGGTCGTAAGTCGAGGACTACTCAACTGGTGCAGCACCGTTTGCAGAATGGGACTTTTGGCGGCTCAGCAGGGCAGAGACAGCCTGGACAATTCCTATTGGCTTTTGAAAGCCAATAGAATTAGACTCTATTCAAGAGAGTCTATTCTATTGGCTTTCAAAAGCCAATAGAATAAAAGGGAGTAGCACAGCTAAGGAAAAGGGGGAAAAAAATGGCGGACTGCGTTGTTTGGCGACCCCCGTGAAATGGTCGTTCGACCCCAAATGGGGTCCTGACCCACAGGTTGAGAACCACTGCTCTAACCAAAGGAAACAATAAATTTAATCTTTGGCTCCTCTAAGACATCTAGGAAACACGTTGCGTGAACATCATCATGTAATAGTGACCTACCTAGGGAAGCCCTTGGGATTAATGCACAGGAAATACGTTACACTGACATTTAAAGCAGAACATCCAGAGTTTATTCCTGCTATGAGCTCATGAAAGAAATCACGGGGACTGGAGGCTAAAACATATGAAGAACGGTTACAGCAACTGGGCATGGCTAGTCTGGTGAAGAGAAGGACCAGGAGAGACATGGTAGCAGTCTTCCACTATTTGAGGGCTGCCACAGAGAGGAGGGGGTCAACCTGTTTTCCAAAGCACCTGAAGGCCAGACAAAGGAATAACAGATGGAAACTGATCAAGGAGAGATTCAACCTAGGAATAAGGAGAAATTTCCTGACAGTGAGAACAATCAACCAACGGAACAGAAGTTGCCTTCAGAAGTTGTGGGAGCTTCATCCCTGGAAGCTTTCAAGGAGAGACTGGGTTGCCGTCTGTCAGAAATGGTGTGGGGGTCTCCTGCTTGGGTGGGGGGGGGTTGGACTAGATGACCTACAAGGTCCCTTCCAGCTCTGTCATTCTATTCTATTCTATCATAACTGCAGCAAACGTTTGGAGAAGATTTCTGGCTCCGTTACACCAAGGTATGGCTTATCACGGTTATGCAATTAGGCAGTTGTGTTTATAAACTACAGTTTAACATTTGAAGCATTGAATGGGAATCTAGCCAGGATCCCTCCTGCTCCCCCCCCCCAACCAACTCCAGAGGCTTCCTTGGCTGCTGTTGCGAGTCCCTGCCTGATGAGAAAAAGGCTGAAGGATTACAGCAAGGCCAAATCCAGGACTGTGTGTCACTAGGCTGTGCCGGAGTTCGTGTTACAGCTACAGATGGAAATAGCCTCGCAAGGCTGACATTCTATCTTCCCACACTGTTATGGCGTTCCCCTCCTTCTCTTCCCGCTCAAAACAAGCCCCTCCACTTGGCTTCCAAGGACAGCAGGTATCCTGTTTCAAAAAGCCAGGCTTCTGAACCCTGGCAGAGCTTCTTCCAAAGGTGAGATCCGGGAAGAGAGGCACGAGAGAAAGGAGAAGGCCTCCCTCTTCCAGAGCCCTCAGCCATAGTGCCAGGGGCCCCATGCTTGGTGATCTATCCCACTGCAGGAGCAAGAGTGCCATACCTGCCCTAAGGAGGAGGTGGGTGTTCACCTGTTGCTCTCCAAGGCGAGAGATGCCAGCGGCCAAACGTCGTGCCCTACTTCGCTTTCCCGCTGGCAGCCCCAGTGCACAGACTGATGAATGGAGGCAAAGCCAGACAGGGACATCACAGGATCTCCTGATCACTCGGTTGACTATTTTGGGATGCTACTGGCAACCACCTGGGAATGTGCTCTCCTACAGGAAGAAACAAGAAACCTTGGCTTCTCTCAAAAACCAAAGCAGGCCTGAAGCTGGGTAGTCCGTAGAAGAGAGGCCACCAGGAAACAGCATGGCTACATGCCGGGCTGGGAAAGGAAAGAGCAGGGGAGAGGAAAAGAAGACGTCCTAGAACAGGGATAGGCTCTTTTATGACTCGTGGACTTCAACTCCCAGAATTCCTGAGCCAGCCACGCTGAAGGGAAAGAGATAGGTTTCCAAGCTGAGCCACGTTGGCTCAGGAATTCTGGGAGTTGAAGTCCACCAGTCATAAAAGGGCCAAGTTTGAAGACCCCCCTGCTCTACTCAAATGGCTGGTTTTATTTTCCCCAAACAGATCACGGGAAGAACTTTCTGTTCTCTTCCAGAAACTACCCCCTCCATGATCTAGGGCAGGGGTAGGCAACCTTGGTTCTTTATGTCTCGTGGACTTCAACTCCCAGAATTCCTGAGGCAGCCATGCTGAGGGGAAAGGGAGAGGTTTCCAAGCTGAGCCATGCTGGCTCAGGAATTCTGGGAGTTGAAGTCCACGAGTCATAAAAGAGCCAAGGTGGCCTACCCCTGATCTGGGGGAACCCTGGTCACCCTGGGCTATCCTAGGAAGAGCTTCGGTGAAAGGCTAGTATGGCCCAAGTGGTCCATTTGGACAGACCAACCTTTCCCAACTGGGCAGATGTGCAGTTTACAATTCCACCTTGGCTGAAGATGCTCAGCGTTGTAAGCCCAGTGAATCTTGAGAAAACCCAGTTGAGAAAAGCCTTAAAAAAAGAATGTAGGAGGAACTTCTCCTTGTATCAGACTGAGCAAGTTCTATTTTGTTAAGATCGGTTTGGGAGAGATTAAAATATGCCCGTTCTTTCTTGCTTTGATTGAATGCTGTAATTAAGAATGTCAGCCCTTTGAAGATGATTAAGCTTGTTTGTTGGTATAACAAAACAAATCATCTGCAAGAATCTGAACATGGAGAAAACCTTAAAAAGCACCCTTTGTCTTTAAAGAGCAGGTATTCTTTTAGGAAACCAGCTTTGGCTTCCAAACTGACAGGATGCAACACAGACCAAGGTCTACTTGTTTAAGGCCACAATTTGTTGTTTTATAGCCATCACTTAGCTATCGTCTTACTTAGCAACAGAAATTTTGGACTTAAGTTAAGGACTACCTGAACAGCAAATCTGAAAAAGGAAAAAGGAAATGGAAGCAGGATCACGACGACAGGGAAGCTTGCAGAAACCAAGGTGGAAATGTCATCTTCCTAAATCAATGCAGCTGATCTTTCTGCTTCTGGAAAACAAGAGATTCCCTACACCAGGAGTCTCCAAACTTGGCAGCTTTAAGACTTGTGGACTTCAACCCCCAGAGGTTGAAGTCTTAGTGGCCAATTTTGGAGACCCCTGCCCTACAACCTTTCAGAGTCCACTGTTAATCCTAGCACGATGGCTGCTATCTCCCCCATCCGCTTGATTTCTGTGGCTCCTAAAGTCAGGCCAGGGGGAAACATTCTCCAAGTTCAGACCAAGGACATCTTATATCTTCCTTCCCCAACCTAGTGCTCTGGGCCACCACGTTGGCTGGAGAATTTTGAATACGTGTCTGAAGAACATCTAATTGAAAAATACCGCATTACAAAGCTGGAAACAACATTCAGTTCATTCAGTCTTTGTAATTTCAGAAGAGAAGACGGAACATGGATACTTGGCTTCGGGAACAGCCCGGTTGTCAACGAACAAATCACAGATCTAAAAGTTTCCTCCGCAAGCCTTCATTCTTGGCAGGAACCAAGTCACCAGCACGTC